CAACTTAAGGCAATTCACTGAAATCTGCTTCATGCATCTGTATTAACCACCCCAGTTGTGTCTGGGATTGCCCAGTGATCTGGGCAAGAGGCAGGTGGGTGGGAAGGAGCAGTGGGATGTTCTGGCTAAAGGTCCTGGGGTTCCTGATCAGGAGAAATACATTAAAATAATCTACAGCCTTTTTGGCCTCCCTCTAATTAAAAGCAGACTTTATTTCTGAATAATTAAAAACAAAAGGAGCACTGAAATTTTGTACCACCTTTGCAGATGCAGGCATCACTCTTAGTTAGTGAGGCATGCAAAGGAGACTCTGCTCCTATGTTCTGTGCCTCCGATAACTGCTCCAGGTTAGGCAGGACAAACCCAGGCCCAGCTCTCCACAGACTCATAGCAAGTGCTGTGAGGATTGCAGATAATCCTTGAGATATGAGTTTGACAGCCAGCCTGTTAAGTGATCACAGAATACAACAGTGCAACTCACCACTGCTCCAGGACGCCCAGCAATGCCGGGAAATCCTGGTCTTCCATCTGTACCTGGCATTCCCTACCAAAACAGAAATGCTATTATTCACTTGAAATTGTGTTCAGTCTCATAAAAGCAGGACTGTACCACTCTCAGAGGGGCCTAGGATGCAAGAAGTAGTGAGCATCATATAAAAACAGGTGTAGAAGGGTTCATGAACAGTGCAGCTAAACTGATTGAACACCTTGTCACAATATGTCACAGGTGGTAAGGGTTTGCATGAGCTCCATGGAAGACATCAAGTTCTTGCCAAAGAGATCTATGGATATTTCTGATACAGAAACCATCTCTGTCTGAGGAGGTCCCTAAGTCACAAACTGTGAAAGCCTGTGAGGATATTCAAGGCAATCATAATGCAAAATTTGCTCTTTTCTAGTGTCATACTGTGTCTTAACATCTGCTTGTGGCCGTTGATGGAGACAGAAAACTGAAATTGATAGATCTGACCCAATAAAACCACTGGGAATTCTCTAATACTCTGCAGGAATAGAAAAAAGCTTGAAAGCATAAGTCAAGTGGCCTTTTCTGCTGCATTTTTGGTGTGATGGAAGAAATTCAAATTAAGCATTCGTAAGACTGAAAATCTTGTCTCTTCTTTTGCCTGACTACAAAATCACCAACATAAAAAAGTGTCTCTCATTAAGAACAGATTTCCTCTATGATCCCTATTTTTGTATGTAATCTGCCAAGCATGTGGCTCAGGAATAAACATGCAGTTTATTAAGACAAAATGCAATTTTAGAAGCCTTGCAATTTTCCCTTTACAGATAAGTGCAGCATAAAAGTTATCTCTGAAAGCTAAGGGGATTTAGGTACCTAAGTGACTTGTAAAATGAATTTCAGTCTCTTCAGTGCTTTTACCTATCATTAGGTTTAGGACTATCATTAGGTTTTCTAACTGAGGATTAAAGAGCTGGATTATTTTTTAAATAACACTATAGTCATTGCACTCACAATATCTGCATGCTTTTGAAATGGGTCTGTCATATCAGCAGTAATAATTACTCGAACACAGACCACAGAACAAAGCAGCTTCAAAAATAATAACTCAAGGAAGAAACTTATCTATAACCTTAGATTATTAAAAAAACTGTCCAATGCATCATTTAATAATGCAGACAATTATCTCTGTGAAATGGTAAAATCTAAAATATGTACAGCGGATGGAATTTATGGCAAGCAGAGTCCTGTTGTATTGTTGTTGTTGTGTTTTTTTTTAATAAACAAGCAGATGCTGTTAGAAGACTATAATAATAATCTCCTAAATACTCAGCTTGCAGAAGGGTCAATTCATTGTTGCTTGTTTCACGCAGCAAATTTTGATTTCAATGGTGGCCCACATTTTTATTTTATTTTATTTTATTTTATTTTATTTTATTTTATTTTATTTTATATTTTGCTTTTCTTCACTTTATTATTTGCCCTGGCACCTCCCTCTGCTGGCTTATGCCTCCTCCAGGCACCCAAGTCAGTCAGGGATAGCAAAAGCTGTATCAACTCATGTAGGAGCTTTGGCTTTGTGGGAGAGTCCAGGAGGAGCCCAGGCCAGGCTATATAGGGACACTGATGGGGATGGATGGAGAGGAAGGCCCTGGCTTCAGCACTAACACTGTGTTAACCAGGATAAATATCATGCTTTCCATGCTAAAGGGGTCTTATGGCTAGCAGCTTCACTGATTCAGAGCAGTAGGTTGAGCTTGCACACACCACAGGCAGAGCTGGCATTGGAACGAGTTAGACAACTAGGACAAATTACAGGTTTAGAGATACAGGAGGCACATCTGTCTTTCCTAGCAGGATAATGAAGGTCTCAGAAAGCCTGTGGAGCTGCCTTGGAGGTGTTTATGACTAGTGAGCAATAAAACATTGTTGACCTTATCTAGTGTTGGTGATCTCATACTTTAAGTGCAGTGCTGGATTAGATGACCATAAGGGGGTCTTTCAAACACCTAACCCTGTGCCTTCTGCATGGTCATGTATGGGGCAGGTTCTAGCACACAAATAGGCCACCACAGTGATCTGTGTGTTGAGCACCGCATAGGGGCAGGGATGGCTTCTAAGTCCTCTGCATGGCACTGCATGTATCTGCTCTTGGACCACAAGGTTGTAATGGGGGAGTGCCTGGGTGTGGAGTGCCAGCTATACACCAGGAGAATGAGGATGAACAGGCACATGGAAATTTATGGTCTTTTATATAAAATTTGTTGATTTTTCTTTCACTTTTGCTGAAAATGAAAATGGCCTCAAAAGGAGGAAAGAACTTCTTGGAGTTTTAGATCAAGTTAAATGAATTACCCACCTTTGAACCTGGTATGCCAATGTTACCTCTTTCACCCTGAAACAGAGACACAGTAGCGTTCACCTATCAAAGTGAACTGTAATTACACATATTCTAAACATGTTACTTTCCATAAAAATAAAAGGACTGAATGGGGCAAAATGATTGGTCAAAAATAGGATATATTTTCCATAGACTCAAGCTCAGTGTACTTTTCGGATTTGGTTCTGGGTGAGTTTAACCTCCAGTTGCCACCAACATCCAGTCACTATGCATTGCTTTTCCTGAACATGTACTGAGCCATATGCCTGAACCTTCTTTTTTGTTGGCTGAAATCTGCACAGGGGTGCACACCTGTTCCCAAGATCTTCCAAAAACCACAGTGATCTTTACTCCACATGTGACTTACTGTTTTCCTTCAATAAAGGTAAATAAGTTCCTTCCCAACTTTCACATCCTCCTCCCCTACCCAGGCAACATATTGCACCGCGAGCAATGTGTTGAGTACTGCACTTCTACAACCATGGGACCAGTTCTGCAGTGCTCGGGCTCTTAGTGGGCAGAATTTCTTGATTCCACTACAGACAACAAATATGTAATTTAGCTGATTTCAACAGAGATGAAGAATATAAACAGTAATAAAGTCACAAGGATCATTGTTAAAAAGTTAGGATCATTGCATAAAATGCTACATTTGCACTTGCTAAAAGCCTTTCTCAGTTTTGTCTTTTAGGAGCGCTTATATTCATGAATGCAGAGAGACTGTGCATTATGTATTTTTTAAGAAAAAAAGCTTTCTATAATGATAAATGTGAAAGCAGATTTTGGATCTGTATTTATTGGTTAGGAAATAGGTCAAACTCTGGTTGCAACAAGCTTGCTCTGACAACTCTACTAGTCTAGGATGTTTGAAGGATGAAGGTTACATGAAACATAATTTAACTGTACTTTAAACTATAAACATGTGATGCATGAGGTCTTGCTTTTTTGAAAGTGGGTGGCTGTTGTATTTTGCTACTGTTGCCTAGTGAAGTCAATTATAACCAAGAAAAGTGGGTGTAAAATTCGCCCCCATGACAATGATAGCGTATTATAGCCACTATATAATAATTTTGCTGTTGAGTACTGGCTGTGTAAGATGTCAGGCAATAGATAATCATTTCATTTCTGTTTCTCCATGATTTGGGGTATGAATGACTCAAGATTCGTCAACCAAAAATGAAGTATAAGTTGTGGTGAAGTCTCTTGGTCAAAAGTCGATGATAGCTTTTTATCAGTCCTAGTCCAATTCCTAAATCCCAAATGGTAACTCCTTTCTAAAGTCTTTGTGGAAAAAAAAATCCACAATATTTCTGTTTGAGGGAAGATGGTAAGTTTTTAACAAAAAAAATATTTTTAGCACAAAGACTGCACCTGCTCATCTTCTCCAGCATTAACGGGAAAAGCTACCCAATAGAGGGTCTTTTTGCTACACTCTAGCACCTAGACATCAGGTGCTTTCCACATCTCTAACTGCTGCTCTTGTGGGGAGAAGAATTAGAGGTTTCTCTTTCAGTTGCACACATTGGAAGACACAGTGATGTTGTACAGATGATAGAGAAACTGCAAAATTCCCTAGAAAGTGAAATTGAAGCACAATGTTTGAGGCAGACTCCTTGGAACAGCTTCCTGCTGTTCTAGTGGAAATGTGAAATAATTCTATTCATATCCAATCCAGTAATGTATGGCAATATACAATTGCATTCCAGCAATCTAAAGTAACATTGCGTATTCCATGTGAGAGAGAACAAAATTTGTCCTATACTTGGTCAATATATGAATGTTAACCTGAAAGGCAAAGGCTGGTAATAAGAAAATCAAAAATCTATGCCAAGGGAAAATATGAGAGCTTTCCAGTGCTCTTTGTTACATTGGGCACCTTTGGTCCAAATGGTCCATGCTGTCCATGTCTTTCTGCAGAACCCTGTAAGACCACAGTGAATCTACTGATTACTGAATTTCTCTCTCTTTTTTTTTTGTTTTGTTTTGTTTTAGAAAAGAAAAACAAAATCAAACCCACAACAATCACAAACATAATGTTTGCAACCAGTAGTATCTGCTAAAATTTGTTGTTCTAATAGTGACTTGCTCTATATCATCACACAACGATCTGAAGATTTTGCTCTTAGAAAAATAGCTTTAATTCTAATATTTGATTAAAATAACTAATAGCATGTGATGAGAAGATTAAAGCAAAAGATCTAAGTCCTTTTGTTGCAAGGGGTTACTTTCAAGAGTTTGCTGGTTTTTTAATTATTTGTCATCTTGGCTAGAATGAAGATAAGTTACTGTTTGGGAGGCAACCCCGCACATTCTTTCCAGGTTTAAAATTATCTTGAACCAAAGATAGGAGATTGCAAACTATTCTCTTATCTCCATAGGGTGATGTCAATGATACAGTCCAATTACGACTCTGATGTCAAGTTGAGCTGTACCATTATTAAACGTTTTAGAAGTCAGAATGGAAAAGAAAATTCAATCAAGTCATCAAGTCATCTTCATCCTTAATATGAAGACAAGACACTGATAAACCAGTACTAACAAAACATATGCACAACCCCTGTTTCATCACTGATCTTCGGGAGAAATGGCATAGAAATCATGGAAGTTATAGCTGAACCTATAGAAGAATACATGATGAGCATTTTCTCTTCAAATATTGAAATAAAGTTTTACCCATCATATTCTAATGCTTTATTTATATCACTATTAATTACACTAAACAGCAATCAAAGCTCTTATTATGTAGTTTTTGAGGAAACTGCCATCCCATTATAAAAATTAAACAGATGCAAATATAGCACAAATAACTGTAGTTGATTTCCTAGCAGCTGCTTTTAATTACAGCCCTCTCAGAAGCAGATTCTCAATTTTCTCTGTAGCACAATCAGGAGCTTTTAGAGTTTTCACAGGGTCTAAGTGGCTTATAACTCTTTCATGTAGTACCAGCAAGTATCTAAAATCATTTTTGTGATTAGAGGCAAGTTGTTCTGTGTCTTTAGTGACCCAAACTTTGGGGAGTAACTAAGTGGTAACAGGAAAATAAAACTAGAATTTTACTCAGGTGCTGGATGGTGTTTTTTGGTATTTATAGCAGAGTGAGTTGGAAACAATGCCTCCTATAAAAGCAAAACTGAGATTAAGGCTGCCATTTAGACAGCTCAGCAAGGTCAACTTTTTAGACTTTTTTGGACCTCTCATTATATTTTTTTATTGTGTATACTCCTCCGAGTGAGCAAGTTTCTCATGACATGTAACTGGAACCGGTCAAGCTGCAGTTTGTGACAATTTCCCCTTGCTGTAACTTCTGGTGCTACTAGGAACAGTTCGTCTTCATCACTTCATCATCTTTGACAAATACAATGTACTCCCCACAGGACATGTGGCCCTTGGTGTTTTAAATTTGTCCACAGCAACAAAAATCTCCTCAGAGAAAGTGATGGAAGAGAAAATATCCTTTTTTCTAGGAAATTGTTTCTATATAACTGTGAAAAAGCTTATTTCAGAATATGAACATTTGATGACCAAACTATAACTATTCACTGCAGTTTATCACTATATGCAATCAATTGAAGTTGGAAAGGGAGTTTTAAAAGACTTTAAATCAATGATACCACACTAATTCTTGGGTTACTTTCAGGTCATGTAAATTCATTGTTCCTAAGTGGGAAAAACCTGGAAGGATTTGATTATATATTTGAGAGAAATGCTTGCTATTTTTACTGGTGAAATGTTTATGAAACAGCACAACCTACTGAGCTGTCAAAGCCACCGAGAAAGAAAGTATCAATTAGATTTATTTTTTCCCATCTACTAGGTTTCATTTTTCTTTTTTTTTCTTTCAATTGTGAGGGCTAGATTTTTCCATGTACATATAAAGACACTGTACACAGTGTCAACCCATGGTGAATGTGAATCAGTCACAGCTTGCCCTATATTAGGAAGCATAAACATAAAATTGCCATAGTGTAGCTTTTTTAATACAAAAGATGATGTTGAAAAATGTTGAAATGATGTTCAATTGTTAAAAAACAATTGAAAGAAGCAATAAGGAATTCTGTAAGGAATAAAAACAACATACAGACAACAAGACCATACAAGGAAACTCAACATTCCAGAGCAGAAAGGCCCAACAGAAATCAGAAAAATGACATTTAGCTTCTTTAGAGGAAATGCTTACTGCAATGTGATTCTATAGTAACCAAATCCCATGCAGTGAAGTTACTCCACGTCTATTGCTGACTGGGAATAAAGCTTTCCAAAAGGCACAGAAGGACTCTCTTGTTTTTGAAAACAAAACAAAAGAGACTCTTCTCCCTCCTCTTACCCTCTTACCTTTGGCCCTCTTGTTCCAGGAGTTCTGGATTCACTTAACATGGCAATACTTCCTGAACCTTCCATGTCCTATTGAAAGAGAAAAAAAGTTACATCAAATTAAGGATTTTTCTCTTTCTTTTTTTTTTTCTTTTTTTCTACCCTCTCTGTTTTCTAGAGTACTCTAAAAGCTGTATAAGCAGTGAACCCAGATATTTTTAATTTTTCTCAATAAGCTTTTTGATCAATGTGTGCTGTTCTGGAGCTATACTCAAATGAGATAAAAGCATATTGATCCTTCACACAGTGTAAGAACTTTTGCTCTTTAGAGACTTCTCACTATGACAGCATTTTTCTGGTACTTCAGGCTAGAGGGCATCAGATACAAGTGATGGAGTGTCACATTTTTAAGTGTGCACTGTATTTAAATATACTGTAGTAGTATTTTTCTGTTAATGCTTCTTTACCAACCTGTTACTGAAATACTGTGATGACTATTAATGGTTATATAAATGTTTTATGGCAGGGTAGGTATAGAGGAAATTTAAGACCAGCAATTGTCATTCAAAAATAAAAAATCTTTCCTAATTCTCATGGCTGAATGCTGAACTCTTGCCTGGAGTGCAGCAGGCTGAAACAAACCTGAACTGAAAGAACTGCTCTGTCACAAAATCATGGCTGAAATTAGGCTGGAAGAGAAACTCAGCAGGCTATCTAGTCCCAACCCCTGCCCAAAGCAGGGTCAACACTGACTACAAATCTGGTTTCTCAGGGCATCGTCTACTTGGGTCTCAGAAAGCACCAAGAATAGAGTTCTGCAAATTCTCTAAGCACCTTCTCTTGAGATTGACCTGATTTCATCATTCTGTGCAGCACTGTAAAGATCTTGGCTATGTCTTCATGATAACCTGGTTTTAGGTATTAGAAGGTTGCTCCAGAATAAGGAAATCATAGGTTTTGTGCTCCCTGACCATCATGGTGACCATCTGCTGACCTAAAAAAGATCTCTCTGAAATTCATGTCCTTTTGATGGAAATATCTATATATTCTAGGGAGATTTTCTAGGAGTTTTGAAGGAGACACTAGAAAAAGTGTCATCCTGCTTCTAACTCCAACTATTCTGACTTATCCCAAAGTCAGTGCAGAGCCATGAGGTGGAAGTTACAAAGAGCCAAAATAATAAAGCTGTAGACTGTCATAATTCACTGTTTTATCCTCATTCCCCTCCCCAGTCACACGTTCCTATTCCTTACATTATGCCTATTTCAGAGCTTGACAGACTGTGCTTTAAGCCATTTTGATGAACTGTACCAGCAGGAAATGATTCACTTGTTTTCAGCTGCAGTTTTAAATGACTTAATGCTTTGCTTCTTCAGAAAAAGGAAAATCTTGTTCTATTTCACTCCTCTCTCCTGCTCACACCCATACAGTCTCCATTTTCACAAAATTGCCTTTTGGGAGTGGTGATGGGACACTGACCACTAGTGCATGAGAACGGCCAACAAACATCATGGAAGGCTGCAGATGGAAGGAGGAACATGGGGAGGACATCTCTAAGTGACAGAGAGCTGTTGTTTCATCTTACCACTGTTATAAGACCCATACTCTTCGCATACTGAGTTTTCTGCTTCAGTATTATCTTGAAATGGCTCATACCACCAAGAGGCTGACGTTCACCAGCAACAATGTACAGAAAAGGGTTGGAAGACCCATTAGATCACCTTACTCTGCTGTGAAATGACAGTCTAATGCTGAAGGTATGGAAGATACCAAATGATCCAATGAAAACTGGATTCCAGTCTCATTCTTCTCCTCCTCCACCAACCCCATAAGAACAAGTGAAATGGAAGCAGCAATGCAGAGTTTGGATCGGGATCTCCCTTTTGGAGCCTAGGATGGGGACAACTAATCATTAGATTGAATCAATCTCTTCCACGTAATTTCACCTAAGAATGATTGTTACTCAGTCTTTCATTTAGTTTCTCCATTGATTTTCAGCACGTCAAATATCAACAGAAGATCTGTTGAGATTGTGTGCTTGGCCTGACTTCTTAGGGTAAATTTCAAGCTGCATTTCTGGGTCTTTCGTTCTCATTGTGCTTTAATTGGTCTGTCCCTATCAACAGTTTTCCTTAAAGAGAGTGTTCGATGCCTGCTTTACACAACATACCATCGTTTAATGACATCTGCATGTTTTTAATAGGTTTACCAGGTACCTTCTGCAACTCAAACTGTTCTTTTTGGCAAGCACAAGTGCCAGGAAATGCAGTCTCTTTCTTTTCCCAAAGCCACTTAGTTTTTACACATATCTGATCACAGATGCTAGCAAGTGCTAACAGGATTTTTTTTTTTTCAGAGACAGCTTTGCAGCAATAAACAGACTGCCAACCAAAAGGTAGTGTAGCCTTAACGAACTGGCAGACCACAGAACTGCCTGAACAGATGGCAGGGGTTTGCATGCAAAAGTTCAGAGAGAACTAGCAAGTCTTTTAACAGTATAATTTATCTCGGGGAATTGATAACCATGCCACTGCTGCTTGGACAGGATGAAGATCAGATGAACCTTGCTCTTGCTGAAGTTAGAGCTGTATTCTTGTACATCAAATTGTGGACTCACATTTTTTTTATCCCCTTCTCTTCTGATAACTTTGTTCTCTGAGGTTTAGACATCAGAAATGACAGAGTTTTTCCCTAACCATCTAATTGCAGGGGTTTTCTTTGTCAATGTAATAAGACAAAGGTGTCTTCTCCTCAAATAGTGTGAATGGGGGAGGGTGAAGCAAAACCTGGGGCCTCAAGGATCACGGCAGATGGATATGGAGCAGAAAAACAATCATGGCTCAAACCCATGTCAGGACTAGGATGAAGATGAGGCCTTGCAGCAGTCCTGACCCCATTCTGAGCCAAGTACATTCTGAATCAGAGGAGGTTGTGTACAAGCTTTCACAGCAAGTGTAAGTTAATGCAAGGGACTTGTACACTTAAAAATGTCTATGTATTTAAATTTGATGCTGTTCCTTCCTAATAATTGCAGTGGTCGAAACTAAGAGCCTGTCAGCTACCTGAGAGGGCTTTTTTATTATTATTCTGCTGAAAAGTATGACTATACTGACTATGTAGCTCCAACTTACATAAGTGAAAAGTTTAAGCTAAACTTATGGCCTCAAAAATGACAGCACAGGAAAGCAGAACTTTAATCAGTACCTGCAATTCGAATGTAATTAATCCTGGCAGGTGTCAGCATATATTTAGATCTCTGGTCTAAATTATTTACATGAAAAAATGAAATGGCTTAAAAGGAGCTTTTCCTTGTAGTGTAGCAATCGCTTTGAACATTTGATTTTAGCAAATGATATGAGTATCAATAATAGCACCTGAAACCTGGTATTGCTGAAGAGGTTTATGAAAATTGCTTGAGGAAATCCATCACTTCCGTGGTCTAAACATAGCCAAATGTATGGCCGTATGCCCATGGGTATAGGAACTGTAGGTTATTCACAGACAAATTTCAGTCTGGAACAAATTAATCTGTGATCAGTATCTGTGATTGTTAATGAGAAACAGGTATGATTATATTGCCCATTCTCTGAAGAAAGTAGATCCATAGTTACAACAAACCCCATCACAGAAAAATACCTCAAATCCCAACCCATAGCTGGGACCTGGGGGTCCAGGAGGTCCAGGAGGTCCAGGAGGCCCAGGTGGTCCAGGTGGTCCAGGTTTACCTGGAGGGCCATCAGCTCCTGCTTGTCCTTTTGGACCTATCGACCCAGTTATTCCAGGTTCGCCCTAAAGAAAAAGGTCAGTCTATCATTAAACTGGACATGCAAAAGTAGATGTAAATCTGTGCTTTGATGAACTGAGAAGTTAGGTTTGCTGACTTCATTACTTTGCACACTGACAATCTTCTTTTCAGCCCTTTCCAGTGTTAAATTATAAGTGACATGCTATATCAGAGTGATACTGCTATCCCATAAGAATACCATTTTTTTTTTTCTTTACCTTTGGACCAACAGAACCAAGAAGACCTCGATCACCCTGTAAAAGAAAACCAAACCTAATTATTTACACTAAGAACATTAGTCAGGCAACAAAAACAAAGTGATGTTGTTTTTCCTTAATTAAATATCCATATAACACTAGATCTCTTACTTAAAAAAGAAAAAAAAAACAATTTTTTAAATTCAGGAATTATAACAGCGAGTAAATACCTCTGGTCTAGTATGCAGACAAGAAGCAATCTCATATTTCAATTACTGCTGCAAATTTTAAGTGTCTATAGCACACAGAATTAAGTATTGTGTGTCACATCTTCATGCTTCTGAACTTAATTTGGAAAAGCCCCCATGGGCTATGAGCGAAATGAATAAGCACCAAATGGTGGTAAAACTATAATATGATTTCTTTCTGAAGCAATGGCAAAAAAGCACAAAAAATTGCGCTCCAAGGCACAAAGTAATTTTGCATCCCACTCTTCCATGCCTTCTGGAAGTTCTTCTTGCAGTCCTCTGTCTGGTAGCTGGGGAGTCATCTACATAAAATTCAAACCGCTGATAATGATGGGCACACGTTTCAATTGCCTTCTTTCTAACATTATTCAACTGTTCATACTGTCATTTTAGGGACAGTTACTAATTCCTATGTGTTCTGTAGCTCTGCCAACCTCAGGCTTTCAAAATCACGACTCAGATCTTTCATTCTGCAAAGGCGGTATTAAAAAAAA